GATAAGAATTAAGAGATACGAGTTACGAATATACAATTTCAGAGAGATTGTATGTCTTAACAATATCACCTGTTCTATGGTATCACCAGGCTTCACAGAGACTGCAGAGACTATATTGGCGTTTTCCACCTAGGTATATAGTTTTATAGTTGCACTGAGGGCACATTTTCCGTGGCTTTTTTTTCTTACATTCGTTTTTAGGTACTCCCAAATCAAATTGTACCTTGAACGGTAATTTTCAACTCTACGCCGCGTGCCGCATAAAAACATATTTAACGTCAACGATATCTAGAGATATTAAACACACTTGTAATATTAAATATCGAATCAGACAGTAGTCAGAAAAAAAATCCACGAAAAAAAAAGCCAAGAAAAAAAAGCCACAGGAAAAATAATTCTCAGAAAAAAAAACAAACGGGAAAAATAAGCCACGGCAAAAAAAACTTAATACTTTAACTTTAATTGCTATATATTTAATTATTGTAATTTGCTTTTTTTTTTCTTGGCTTTTGTTTCCTACATTTAATCAGACATACCAAACCAAATTAAATATAAAGCTATYATATATCATTTTGCTAATATTCGAATTATTTAATCAAGAAAAAAATGTAAAATGTAAAATAAACAGTAAATATTATTATATTATATTACATATTATAAATTRCATATCATGCATAATTAGGTGTTTTATAGACCATAGTAGATTTTAGGTGGATAGYACTTAAGTTTTAAATTATTTACTTTTGTTTTTTGATATAGTATAAAGAGAATGCATAGGTATACCTAGTTAAAATTGAACTGCAAATTAAATTGTCAATGAGAAAGAGAAATATAAAAAATTATTAATTTTATGGCCCTAAGAAAAAAAGTTAGTCACCACTATTATGATATTAAAATTAAAATATGTTGAAAAGGAACGCCATAAATGTTGTGCTCGGRGGTGCAAGATMTTAAATACGGCCCTGAGTGGCCYGAGTAAACACGAATGACGAAAAGGAGTTTTTTAGTTATTACCTTATTTAAGTCGAAACATGTAAATATAGACGTATATAAATCATATAAAAATATTGATGTTGATACCAATTATTGGAATAAAATTTAATTTGCTGACTCTTAACCAACGCGTCCATGGCGCATTACCGGCAGTACTCCATGTTCCACAGCCTATTATACAAGTGCGTCTAGTCCTCATGACCTCATGGATTAGGATTTAGGACTTAGGAACCGCTGATCTAGTTACTTAATTTTGACACTGTAAGTGGGTATTTCGTGTTCTAATTACTATTTGCTGTTATAYCCTCATGAGTTTTTTATTAATTATTAACATTTCATTGTTCAAATATTATATCATAATATAATTATGTATAATATTCATAATTGATATAGGATACAGACAATAAGCATTTACTATATTGTAGTTTGTACCTTATAAAGTTATGTAGCCCATGTACATAACGAATATTTTTGATTATTTTTGTATATTATATTCATCTAGATACTAGATATTTTATCACGAAAAAGTTAAGTATTTTAGTCGTAAACGTTATTAACGTATAAGGTATATCTATAGAGAGTAGAACCAGATACAT